AATTGAGAGAACATCCTTAAAAATATAACCCAATGAGGATAGAGTTTATTAAACTACAGTATCATATAACACTGTTGTAAGACAGGAAAGGGGCATTTTTGAGTTACTGGCCAACACCTGAATTCTGCATTTTCTTCTTTCTGGTCTGCTTGGGCCTACTGCATATACACATGCAGAAACAGCCTGATGCTTAGACTTTCTTGTGGTAGCTGAGGTTTATTTTTAAAGGCAACACTCATCACTTTTCCCATAATAATTCTAAATAAATAAATTGCTCATCATAAAAGGTCCTTAAAGCCGCTAATTTGCCATTGGGGAAAAGTACAGCAGCATTCAGGACTTCAGAGCCTGAACCCCAGTATGCTGGAAGCTGGAGAGCCTCTGTGCAACTGCGTCCCCCATCACTCCTCTCCTTCAGAAAGAAAACAACCTGGTCTGTGATTTTTCACACTTTTCTTCTTTTTACAAGAGACGTGCTTAATAGCAGTTGGGAGAATGGAAAGCTCATTGCTAGAAGTTTGACAGAAAGATTAAGCTAATAATTAAAGCAAGATTTAGACCAGGTAGAATTGGATTTAATTGTTTGCCCCTCTGTCTCATTGGCCAGGTTCACACATTGCACTATAACAAGTTATATTCAAAGTTCATACACCATGCTAAGTTTGCTTGCTTAGTGGACATTGTGTGAAGCCAGCTATTATGCAGTGTAAACTATGACTATGTGTTGCATGAATCCAGATAACTGTGATTAATTCAATAAACCCAAACAAAGTCTTAGCATAACATATAAACCCAGTCATATCAGCTTGATTTTCAGAACACTAAATCAGAAACCAACACCTATACACATTGTGTTAAGGCAAAATGTAACAAATCACAGCATGGCTTTACATGTTATGCAGATCAAGATAATCATTTACTTTGGAACAGCGTAAACTGCCTCACAAGGTTTTAGGGAGGATAATGTTGGAAGAAAAAATTATATACATCACAATCTCTTTAGAAGAATGGTAGGATTAAGAAACAAATAAAGTTAGCAGTTTACTCCCACAGACTTGGTAGCGTATTGCGGCCGAGGAATCAAAGGTAAACACAATTCTGAGCCATCTCGTCCTTGCCTTTTTGTCTTTGTTTAGACTGAAGCAAATGCAGCAAGATCATAAATTCTTTCCTACTACAAGACCTATGGATATTTAATAATTACTTTACGAGACAATATTTTGGAGACCTTCCTTGGAAGAAACTGGCTTCTCACGAAATTGAAACACTAGTGTTGTTGTTTACAAGGTAAGAAATCTGGAGAATGTGAGCTTTGTCATCCCCTTTCTAACACGAGCAGCTAATTCCTGGGAATTGTGAATCACAGCATTCTGCCTTAAATAGAAAAGATAGCAACTGGAGATTTGCCTTATTCAGCTGTGCAGTTGCATTGGCCCCGTAGGTTTCCTTAGCTGTGTGCTGGCTTTTAACTCCTGTGTGGGTGTCCTCTGATGACCTTCATATAATGTTGATGGAACTGGTGTGTGTATATAGATCCATATGTATTGGTTCCATATGCAGGGCTATAGATCATTCTATGTGCTTTATAGCTTTGTACATTACTTTGTTTTTGCCGTTTTCTTTAGTCATTTGCATCTCTAAAGTGCTTTTCCCTGTAATCTTTCAAGATTTCTGAAAAGAAGTGAAACGCTTTCTGTACTGTCAAGAAAGCTTTAAAGATTTTCCTCACAAAACCAAACCTAAGGCCACTCTTACAGACATATAATCCTTTTCTTGTACTTTTGGGTAGGTGTATTTTTTCATTTGGGGGGAGATTTTGAGAGGAGAGCTACTTGAATATGGCTGCAGTAGGTCCTTAAGCCATTTTGTGAATAGGAGTAGGTGGGGGAAATAGTTATGAGCGCACAAGTTGAACACTGCAAATGAATGAAGCTACTTGAAATTTATAATGAACCTCTTTACACTGATGGGGCAGGCCACTATATATAAACAGAGAGCCAACCCCCCTCCCTTCTAGCACTGAAGATGTTACCTAGCCAGGTAACGAAATGTCTGCAAAAAAACCAAGCAAGCTCAGAGAACCCCAAGGACTCCACAGAACCTCTTTTTCTCTTCAAAAAAGGATCATGGCAGATTGCCCTAGGAATGTAAGCATGCAAAACAAAACCAAACCCTAGAATCACTAGAATTTGTAGACAAAGCCACAGATACAGCTGTTACTCTTCATGTGGCCAAAATCTGTGCCAAGTTGTGTAGGTCCTGAGCTTTACCTGGATCTTGCCAACAGGTTCTTCATGCCAATGTTTTGTTACATTCTTATTTTAGATTGATCAATGCAAAGATGTGATTTGGAAATAAAGCAGTGTATAGCTTCAACAAGGTAAAACAAAAAAGATGTTTGAGATCCACCCTCATCACAATCGTTTGAAGCTGGTATAACTCTTGTGGTTCCCGGAGAGAAACTCAGGCATTATCATTTTCTTTTCTTTTTCATATAATTTCTATTAAGAAATTTAAAAATAAGATAAAAACTAAGAAGAACTAATATAAAGAAAGAAAACAGAGAAAAAGCCAAAAGTGCAAAAAGAAAATAAAAATAAAGATGTAGCTTCCGATTTTCTTTACAGCAATTATAAATACAAATACAAAATTACCTCTTATTCTATGGTTACAAAAAAACCCTCTCTTTTTTCTATTATCTATTTTTTTCTAATCATCAAAACCATAAATCATCGCTCTGTTTCACGCAAAGAGTCTATAAGTCTTTTCTCTAATCAGGGAAGTTAGTTTATCCATCTCTGCAAGTTCCATCATTTTCACCAACCATTCCCCATTGTGGGTAGTGCCGAATCTTTCCATTTTTGTGCATATAATAATCTCGCTGCAGTTATCATATATAGAAACAAAGTTCCATGACTTTTTTCCAGCTGTTTACCCATCAGTCCCAAAAGAAAAGCCTCTGGTTTCAATTGTATGTAGGCATTATAATTTTCTGAGGTGTTGAAAATTAATTAGAAAGCTTTGGGGTCCTTCCAGATTGAGAATTCCTGCTGCTAATAATAACTCTGAGGCAGTACTATGAAGCGATTTTGTCTTTCATAAGTTTTCTCTGGTAAGAAAAAGATGTGAAAGAAACTGTGAGAAGCTATGGATGGGTTGCAAAAATGATATTCCCACCCATCTCAGTAAAATTCTGTGCACAGGGTAATTAGCTAATAAGAAGCTCATTTGTTAATACCTGTAGTTTCTGCCCAGACGTTCCCTCCCTCAGAGCTACACAGACGTGAAACCCATTTGTCATGAACAGATGTGCGTCATGTTGTATAAACCTAGGACCAGCTTAAACATCGCCTACTTCATCTCCCTCAGGCAGAAGGAACACAATCTTGCTCTTGGGACAAAGCTGGATTCCTGTGCAAACTGGAAAAGTTCCTCAGAAGTTTTATCTCAAAAATGGTGATGTATCATTTCAGTTTTTGCTCGAGCAGGGAACTAGTCCAGTCTTGCTCACTTGTTCTCTTCATGGAAGTGTCCCTTAAATTGCACCACTCAAAGTAATTGCCTTACATGCTCTCAACCTGAGCTGGTTTTGTGTATGTACGATGTATGCAGAGCCATTGTACATACTTGTTCTGTACACAAAAGCCCCTACATTTAGGGATGAAAGCTCACTCCACCTAACGATGAACCTTTTTAACTTGACCAGGGGTCAATGGATAAAAACACTGTTTGGGTGTTTTAGCAGCCTGGTGCTTGGTAACAATCAGATCAAATCCATTTTTATGGTCTGGAACAATGTACATGTGGGCAACCAAGAGCATGCCCTAAGTAGGGAAAAAAGTTTCACCATATCCAGGAGGGGCTGAGAGCTGGCCTGATCTGAAATGGCAGACAATGGCTTTGCGGTATGCCGTCATTCTCGTTGCTGGGAGTCTCTTTGGAAAAGGAGTCTCCTTATGTGCCTGGTTTTGTGAGATCAAGTGCCCCGGCATCTACTCTTTGCTTCCTCTGGGGGAAGTACTGCGAACGCAAGGGTCACGCGAGCTATTGCCGATTACTTTATATGGCGTGCTTTCTGGTTTTGGAATGTTCTGCCAAAGCCTTAATTCTACGCAGACCACCTCCCGGGCTGCAGGGCAGCAGATTAAGCTACTCTACCGCGGGAGAGGATCAGATGGACTGCGGAAACAATCCCCGCAGAGTCCCAAATCCTTCTCCTTGAGTTCGCTTTTTTGCACTTAGGTACTGCAATTTCGCGTTTTTCGAACAGAAACCGCTTACAGACGGTTTAAGTTGGTCAATCCAGAGATCTTCATTCCTCAGCCGTGCGAGGCCACAAGTATCTCCTGAGCATACGCAATGTTTTTGTTTTCCTCCAGAAAGAGCAAGCACAGGCCGCCCCCACCTAACACTTCAGGCGTTCAGCAGCCGTCTGTCTGTCTGTGTTCAAATACGGCAGCCCTAAGCATCCCACTGACTTGGAAGGGGAGCAGCCACAATCTCCTGGGCTTTCTTCTCCACAGAACGGTTTCCAAGTCCCGGCTAGTGGACTGTCAACGCTGCGCGCGCGCCCCACCTCTCCACCAAACGGGATCTCCTTTCTTGCTTATCCAGTCCCGCCGTCGCCGGGCTCGGAGTCACCAGCGGCTTCCACGCCGCACCCTCGCCCAGCAACGCTCCCCCCCAGCGGCGACTCCAGGGGGAGCCTTTAGGCCGAGGGGGGCGCTCCCACCGCGGCGCATGCGCTCCTAGCAGACGGCGTTGGGCCGAACAGTTGAGCGGGCGGGGCTGCTCTATCTGGCCCGAGAGGAGCGCGAGATATATAAGGCTCGGTCCCGGCCGCGCGGCGGCGAGCGCGGAGGAGGATCGGCAGCCCCGCCGTGCGCTGAGGTGGAGGGACTGCCGTGCGCAGGCCCCGCAGGTACGTATCCCACTTTACGGGGGAGGCGGAGAGGAAGTGGATTTGGCCTTTCCTGGGAGAGCTCTGAGGCTGCTCTAGCAGAAGGGGGCGAGCGGCCGCTGAAGTAGTACTGGGACGTGACATGTGTCTCCGTTGTAGCCCGGACCGCGCCGTAGCAGCTCAAAGTGGCCCTCCCTGAGCAAAAGCCGGTGGGTCCCGCTTGCTTTCCTAGGCTTTCTCGCAGCTCTCTTCCTCCTCCCCACCCCTCATCTTCGGCGCGCGTCCCGGAGGTGGAAAGAGCCGGGGGACCGAGTAAGTCATCCGGACTATCCTTCCCCCGGCCCCCGTTTCTGCCTTGCCGCCGAGGGCCAGACCGGCGCAGGGCGGTTGGCCTCGGTGCCCAGGTCCCGTGTTTCTACGACACTGCCCGAGACGTCTGGCGAAACGGGCATGATCGTAGCCCCTGGATGTTACCGGCGTTCTCGGCTTCCTGTGCCGGATCGGAACGCCCCGTTTTCCGGGAGTCAGCGGGGCTGCAGGCAAGAGCGAGCTCTCCTCTCCGTCGGGGAAGGGACCGGGCTGTGGGTAGTGCTGCAGGGGAAGGAGGAAGTGGCTTCGGGGGCTTTTCGTGAAGGGAGGGAACCTGAACATTAGCCCTTCCCTGCCATTAGCTATTTCGGTGTGTTGGACTACATCCCTTGTCCCAGCCGACGATGCCATTGGTTACGGGTGATGGGAGTTTTGTTGCCCGATGCATCTGGACTGTCCCAGGGTGGGGAAGTCTGTTGTGTAGTATTCCGTCACACATGTGCCTCCTAGCAAATGGACCTTTCTGTGTTTCTAAAGTTGTCATTCGTATAAAGGATCTTTGAGCTCAAATCTAATATTATAACGTTTAGGAGATCCAAACTCCAGGTGAGCTATGAACAGTGTGGCTTTTGTAGTGGGTCTGAGCCGGGGTGCTCTTAAGATGGTAAAACGTGGCCCTTCTCTGGCATTTTAACTATAGGAATTTTTTAAAAATCTGATTGTGAATAGGTTTGGAAGGGATGTTGTGATAAATACTCCCTTCACACAAACAAGCAGTATATCTCTGAGTAAAAGATACTAGGAAGAATCCTCATTGTTCTTTAATGGAGTTTTAGAAATGTTTGTCTGCCCATGATCAGAAACAGGATTCTGAACAAGATGATCTTTTGATCTTGTCTAGTGGGGTTTTCATTTTGATTGCTTAAAGAAATAGAGCTTTCTATCAGAACAAATAAACCAAATGACATACATATCATACATGTGTGTTTCTTTCCTATTCTGTGACATCTACCTGTGAAGGGACACACTAAGCAAAGGAAAAGGGCAGTTTCTATGTGTCTAACCATTTATTAATTTCAAGGAGAGTGTGGTTGGCCATGGCTATTGTGTTATTAAGTCACTTATCTTTAAATAGCAAGATTAGTGAGGCAAAAAATTTCCAAAGGGGATTGGAGGTGGGTGGAGGGTGGCATTAATGCTCCCTGGCTATTGCTCATCTGGTTCTTTCCATTTGGGAGAACTGCCAGCTGAATCCACATAATGAATAAACTTCTTCTGGAGACATGGAGGGTTAAATAAGGAGAAAAGGAGCCTGGTCATTCTCCATGTCTTCCACTGCCCTCCAGTCCAAAGTGACTTTACTCTGAGAAGAAAAGATGAGAGTTCTGATGCTTGCCAATATTACAGATTTTAAATATGGGAGTCTCCTGGGACAGAACTTGCTTCCTTGAAGTTGAGGCATTTGTGAGCAAAATGAAAAAAATTCCATTGGGTCACTCTCAGCTATGTAATGAGATAAGGGATATGTTTTCCCTTTCCAAAGTGAAGGGGAAGGTGTGAAGGGGTATTTATTTTTCTTGTTTCTAAAAGTTGTTTCATTACAGAGGAGTATTTTTGTTGTGTTAAATTTTGCAAAGGAGTTGGAGGCTACTTATTAAAAACTAAAATTCAACAAACTTTTTCTTTTAGTGCTGGTAAATATATGGAAAAGTATCTGCATTTTTTACAGGCACAGTGGGCCCCAGCATTGCTGGGTGATTTTATTTTCAAGACAGTACAATAGTGCTTGAGAAATTTTATCATTCTCTTCTGCTTCAGGACAGACTTATGGCTCTCCATGTTCCCTACTTTTTAGTTAATGCATGCCAGTTATAGCTACGTTGATTAGCTTCCCAGTCTAGGTTGGTATTCTGCTACATGCCTAGGATCCTTAGGTCATCAGGGATCCTAATGGGGATCGAAAAAGGGAAGCAAGTGATGAAATGCGTGCCATGACCTCATGAAACAATCTCTGTGACTGATGTCTGATGGGACAGAGTTTGCCTCATGATGTACCTGTGCATGTGTTACCATTTTTTTTTCATCATGGTTACCTGCAGATGCCTGTGCTCTGGCCAACTTCCTTGGTGGAGTTCTTGGTACTCTTGGTTGTTTGCTTTCAGATGTTTCATTACCAACTAGGTAACATCATCAGTGCAAGTCCTAGCTGGGTAATGAAACATTTGCAAGCAAGTTTAGAGAGCACCAAGAATGCCACAGTCAACCCTGACCTACTGATATTCTCTTCTGTCAGAACTTTCTTGGGGCCTGCCAGCTGTCCTGCCCCACCTGACTTAAGTTTTTGAAAGATTCTCTAATTTTAAAGCACCAGGCTATAGCACAGGGATGGGCAACCTTTGGTGGCTCAGGACATTTGGGGGAGGTAGAAGGCCACAAGGTGGATCGAGCCACATTGCACTTGGGCTGGGAATTTTGGAAACATTTAGATGACAAGAAACTGCTGAAAAGTAACTGCAGAGTCATGATCAGAGGAGACTCTGAAGGGCGTGTAAAGAGCCCCGGGTTGCTTGTGACCCTAAGGCTGTAGGCCTAAGCATTTATTAAATTTATTATGGCCACCTACTCTGGGTGGCTTATAATGTCCAGATATACAATTAAAACAGTTACAAGGTATCATCTGTAGTAAGCCACAGTAACACCAAAGTGATGACCTGTGTCATGATGTCATCACACAAATGACAAAATTCTGTGCTTGCATCATGATGTTTTGTGGAGGTATATCAGTCATATCATTTGCATGATGATGTCATGACACCTGTGTCATAATTTGTCCCCTCATACATTCCTGTGTCTGCAGAGTGCCCACAACTGCTCTAGCATTATCTTTATTTATAGAAATGCACATATAGGCCTTTTAGATATTCTTAGAAAATAAGTAGTGGATGGTTACAGCCCATCCTTCTTTGGAAGTATAATAACCAGCCCAGAAAAAAAAAAAAGATAAAAATAAATTGGGTTGGTGGAAAGCATCCTTGCGTGGATAAAGAAGACACTGAAAGCAACTTTGTTAGTCAACTTTCTGGTAAATGAGTGTTTTTGACTGGATATGCCTATCGAGGCAGCCATTTTGTGAAAGTACCAATAATGTGTTCACAAAATTTCAAATGTGCCCATCAGCCCCCAAAAGATTGTTTAGCCTGCTTGAACATAATTGTCTTAATATATATTTCCTCATTTCAACCTTAATGCTAATCTCAGTGCTTCAAATCCTCCCCCCAGCCAGCATAGATATGTATGCCTGTCAGCTTAGAATAACACTGATGAAGTGATTTCTGATTCATGTAAACTAATACATTTGTTATTCTTAAAAATGCCAGAATGTTTTGAGGGCAGCAGAGTCTGTTTCTGGAATCTCTGTGGTTCCTGTCTTCCTTTCCACCAGGCGAATCCTAGTAGTGCCTGTTGGTGTATGTAGGTATGTTACCCCACCTAACTGACTCCTTACTTCAAAATTTGGTCCCTGCTGAGGAAAGCATAGAGATTAATAAGGCAGAAATCTGATTGTTTAAGAGCCTGTCTCTGCCGACTAGTATTTCCCTGAATTTAGACAGATCCTTTCTTTTTCTCAGTGCCTTTATTCACCTTTATTTCTCCCATACTCAGTATGTTTTTCACAAGGACAGCTGATTGTATAGCACTGTATAGCTCCTTTAGCTACAGAAATCCTACATCATGTAGCCTGAGACTGCCAGAGCTGTGTAACACAGGATGCTACTGCTTTTCTCCCGGGTACTGCTTGGCTGGGGATGCTCTGGCCTGGAGATGCTGTAGAAACCTCGCACCAGGCAGGCAAATAACTCATGAGTGAGCTCTTGTTGTGAGCCATAAGGCATTTCTCCTGCCCGCCCAGGCATGTTTGGCCGACTCAGGTTTGGGAGGAGGTGGCAGAAATCAAGGCTCTCAGCTTCTTCCTAGCAGAGCATGTTCCTCTGCGATTCCCAAGGAGAAAAGATATTAAAGTCTTTGGAAATGCTCCAAGCTGAAACACCCTAACCTGCAAGAAAAAGATGGTTCAAGCTAGTGTGCTGCTGCAAGGGCTTTTTCCCAGGGAGCAGAAGGGGGTCATTATAATCCTCTGGCCAGTTTGTCTTCATGCTACACTTTCCCATCCAGCCTACATTAAAAGAAAATCATGTTTTGGGTGTGGGGGTCCATTTTTCCTTTTTCTTCCTAATTTGTCCTAATTTCTGTTAGATCAAATAAGAAAGAAATTGACGTTTGGGAGAGTTGCAAGTGAGGGCGGCAATCTTGATGAGCAACCCTTGGAACATGACAGCCGTGCATGCCTTATATAGACAATGCACAGCCTGAGGGAAATGAAGGAGGCAAAGGAAGGGCTTTGTGTTTAGAGGAAATCTTTCCTGCTTACTGTGTGTGTGTGTGTGGGGGGGGGAGTTAATCGGCTTATGTTGTAAAGAGATAGGTGATAGCCATGTCTAAGAGAAGGCATCTCTTCCTCGATATTTAGGATAGATTCTATGCTTTGCCATTTACTGTCTTTATTTGTCCCCCAGGAGCTTCCTAAGGTGAGGATTCTGGGGCTGTCCAATTGTTGCTGAACAAAAGCTCTCACCATTACCACACTAAACAAGGGCATTGGAAGTTGTAGTTCAGGAGTATCAGGAGTTCCCCAACTCTGGCCAGTTGTCTGAGCCATAGGAACAGAACACTTTTTCCTGTTTCTTGTCTCTCTAGGTTAGCATTCCTGTGAGATACTCCCCTGCCAGTTATAGGAGTGCAGAAGATGGATAAGGGCACTTCTCTGATCTTAGGACTAGTTGGTATATGCTGTTGGTTGTCGGTGAAGCCAGTGTGTGTCTTGTTTTGTCTGTCTCTCTAAAGCACTGTTTCTCAATCTTGACAACTTGAAGATGTGTGGACTTCATCTCCCAGAATTTTGCATGCTGGCTGGGGAATTCTGGGAGTTGGTCCACACATCTTCAAGCTGCCAGGGATGAGAGACACTCAGTAGAATTCAGTGCTGGAGGTGGGGTGGCAGTCTAGTTTGATAGGGGAGAGAGGAAGTTGGTTTAAACTGGATTGATTTGAGATGCGCAGGGAGAAATAGCCATACTGAGTTGAAATAGATTGAAACACTGGGTCTTTTCATAAGTCTGCCATTTTCAGCTTCAGAGACACCTAAATTATTAAAGGCAAAAAAATCCCCAAAGTAGTTTTTTATAAATATTTCTTGTTGATAAATTTGACGCACACGTTTTAAAGATTGAATGGAACAAGGAGTTACAAATCTCCATTTTGTCTAAACAATGAGAAACTGTCTTAACATCTTTATTGAAGGTTTCAGTAGATCTTAGATCTTTCATCTGATTGGACCCCATTACAAACGAATGGTGTTGTTGGAGATGCCATGAGAAGAATGCTTCAATAAAATACATTTTTGTGCTGTCCTAAAATTGCTATATGCTGAGAAAGAGTTATGCCACATATTCAGTTGACTTTGAGCGGGGTAGTTTGTCATCCATACTCTTTTGCACTATATACCTGTTACGTGGAATTGATGGCTGGGCAACAAAAATGGATTCTCTGTACCTTTCTGGTTGCTAAGAGACTTGTCCTTTAACATTGGAAACAATCATTTATTACCCCAATTACTTAATGGATTGAAGACATGATATTACTTGGAATTTATGAAGATGTTGCTTACAGATGTAGATTATATATGGATAGTTCTAATGAAATACAACAATCCTGTTACAATATTGTCTTAAACCATTGTATAAACTTTACATACATATATGCATGTATTAGAAGTGCTTGTATATGTAATGCCATTTTTGTTGTTTTGCTTTTTTATTGTTTTCCTTTTCTGTTCTGTTTAATTAAATAAATGGAGGCAAAATTTCTTTAAAAAAGAAAGAAAGAGAAGTCTAGTCTCCCATTTGTACCTGCCCAGGAGTAAATCTAGTGCCCAGGTATGTGGCAGCCTTACTTATGCAACTACTCTGGGTATTTAATAAAACTTGAGCAAAGCTGATGGGAGTATAAAACAAGCCCATCCAAATGCCATGTAAATTGACCCAGAATATCTGAAGCTCCTGCACGTCAAGGCTGTTGGAAGGACAACTTGGTAGAGAGGTACCTTGGCTTCTACCAACAGCCTTCAGGTATGTTTCTGGACAACGAGAGCTTGTGGGCATTTTCTGTAAAGAAGGGGGTGGGGACTGAAACTGTACAGTGGGGCAAAAAAGTATTTAGTCAGCCACCAATTGTGCAAGTTCTCCCACTTAAAAAGATGAGAGAGGCCTGTAATTTTCATCATAGGTATACCTCAACTATGAGAGACAAAATGAGAAAAAAAATCCAGAAAATCACATTGTCTGATTTTTAAAGAATTTATTTGCAAATCATGGTGGAAAATAAGTATTTGGTCACCTACAAACAAGCAAGATGTCTGGCTCTCACAGACCTGTAATTACTTCTTTAAGACGCTCCTCGGTCCTCCACCCGTTACCTGTAGTAATGGCACCTGTTTGACCTTGTTATCAGTATAAAAGAC